TGCAGAAAGCCTTCCTGGCCTCCCCTCTGCACATTCTCCTAATCGTATGCAGGGGACTGGCACATTTTTACATGCATCATTCTCTATTATACTGTTTATTGGTATGCTTCTCTCCCCCGTTAGACTAGGATCTCAAAAGCTGGACTCATACATTTTTCATTTCTCATTTTATATTCAGCTTCTGGCCCTCCAGTACATGAGCAAACCATGTTAGGGTGAATTTCCACCTGGATGTATTTTCCCCACAGATTTTCAGTAATTTTTATCAAGCTTCAAGGATCTCATAAAATATGCCTCTAGGGTGGAAGTAGGAGGGGGCTTACAAACTGGTAAAGTTGGAATAGATTTCTGAAATTGGCTGAAATTTTCTCATTTTTGAAAAGGGTTGGGAAAAGAATTGAGCCTTTATGGGCATCTATGTTTCCAAAGCTGTGGTCTTTGTAAATGTTAGTTAATCTTTGCAGCAACCTGGGAATTAACAGCTGCTGCTGCATTGCATAGATGGGAATGCTGGACCCAGAGGCAAACTGTGACTCAGACCCTATGTTTTTAAACTCCATAAACTATGTCCTTTGCAACGTTCCACAACGAAGGACCAGAATGATCTCTCTGAAAATTGGCAATAAAAAGGGAGGCACTGTGGGGGAAATGGTACAGCAAGAGGGGTCAGAAAGGTCACCAGGCAGGCCCAGCTGAGTGACATCTGGCAATAACTTTAACAGTGCATTTGCTTCTCACCCCCCAAATGCACCTTACGTTCTGATGCAAGACATATGAATTTCAATAATACCATGACTTCTAGGAGAAAAACATTTTGTTTTGTTTTCGTCCTTCTCACAGAGGGTAGCAGTGGGGAGCAACACCGTGACTAATGGAACATTTAAAGGAGCGTGCTGGTCTCGTTTGAGGATGAACACACCCTGTCATCAGAGAACACAACGGGCACCACCTCTGAATGGATGGGGGCCTCGACACCCCGGAATGGGACCAGCAGTTGGGCCTCCGCTGAGCACAGACAGAGACATACTCTGGCACTAACTGAGGGTGTGGGTATTCATTTGCCTTCTCAGAAGCCTGCTTGCATGAAGGCGTGCACACAAGACCAGGTTACCAACAGTATAAATGCTGGATCAGAATCAAAGGCACCAAATAGAAAGTCGCCTCATGTAATAATAAAAAAAAAAAATGACAAGGGCTTAGTCTTCAACATACTATTGATGCTTTTTAAAATTGACTTAAAAATAAAGCTCTGTTGGGTGGCACCTGTGGCTCAAAGGAGTGGAGTGCCAGCCCCACATGTTGGAGCTGGTGGGTTCAAACCCAGCCCCGGCCAAAAACTGCAAATAAATAAATAAATAAATAAATAAAATAAAGCTCTGTTTACACACTGAAAAGTAGAGAATGTCAAACTTTCTAATCCTTATCTAGAACCAGACTCAGAGCCAGGCACAAATTTATGGTCAAACAACCACTTTATGATGTCTAAGCAGACAGGACTGTGGGAGCAATGAAAACGCACTACCTGGCTGGAAAGTACGCACTTCACTTCATAGTACACAGCCAACAGAATCATTACGCACTGGGGAATTCTTTCAACGTTTGTGCTCAATTTTCACAAATCTCTAGTTTGATAATGAATATGAACATCGCCTCATCCTTCAGCCCACTCACTCCCCGATCCACTTTTGGCCAGGTTTTAATTCCAGATCTGCTCAGTAAGGTTACCAACATAAGAAAAAGATAAAACTTCCTGCCAACAGCAGAAACAGTTGCTATTTGGAAGTACTTCTAGATGTGCATACATGCAGTAAAATACATCAAATAAAAGCGTGAAGATGTCGATTTGTCCAGATCCACGAAGAACAAAGATGAGTTGGGAAATGTTATACCTGAGCCCTGCATTGCAGTTAACATTCAAGGCTTATTTGTTTGATCGCATAAACCGTTTTCTCAATTATTAAAGAAAGTTGAAATATTTATCTTCTTTTTAAAGTGTCCCAGAGTCCCTAAACCATCTACAAGTAAGTTTTGTGAAGATTAGGAATAAATTGAAATCTACAGTTGTTTAATTTGCAAACCTAATTTTCCAAGCAGCAGTCAGACTATCCCTCACTGTTCAGGTCTGAGCTAAAACTTCCCCTCTGAGCGCCGAGTTAAGGCCGTCCTGCCCACTGTGTTTCTCAGTGCTGTCGCTCCCTTACTCCCCGGCATCTTCTGTCCATGCTCACGGCCCTTCCTTCACTAAACCGTGAGCAGGGACAGGATCCTGTCTTTCTGTTCACCACCAAAGTGCCTGGTTCAGCGTGCTCTCCATTTATTTATGCATTTGGCATTTATTGTTGTAAATTATCACAGGTGTAATGAAGAGTAATAGATGTAAAACTCGACTAGTTTCTTACTGAATTAAAATGTGGAAAAGGTATTTAGCTGTCAAGGCATCCACCACACTTTGAACTGTTCTCTTCTCTCCCTTTGTTATTTTCTCCTCCTTCCTAAGACCCCTGTGCCCCCTCAAGAAAAAGAGAAAGAAAAGAAGCCAGAACAAAAGGAAACCTTAATGGTCGTGGTGTGTGCTCCAGGGTATTCTTTTTCTTCCAGTGTTGACCATCTTTCTATAAACTTAGACACCAAGGAATCATCGTAGTCCACTATCTGGAATCCGGAGACGTTTGCACCTCCAAACTGAATTTTTAGCAGGTCTCCATCTGTAAATCCCTAGACCCAGAACACATTTACGTCAGGCTTTTTTTAGGGGGGGACTGAATGCTACTTAACATTTACCAAAGAACTCCATGCATTATGGTTTTATATATTTCACAGGACGTATGAGAGATAAAAAGCCTACAGGAAATGTTTGTTTCATATATTTAACAATCAATGCTTTTCACCAGCACCTCATGCCATGGTGGCGCCATCCTGGGTTCTCAATCAATACATATTTATGGATTGATCATCTCACGAATACTCATGATTCCACTTACATAATATTTCTTCATTTTATTGTGAAATCTTCTGCAGATAGGACTGAGTTTTCTTTCTTAATTCTACAACAGAGCACCACCTCCAAGAGCTATACAACCTTGTGAGCAAATTAGTCTGTTTAAATTGGTCATCCACTCAGGTGACATAAATATCTTCCATATGAGGGTAGAAGGTATTAAATGGCCAGTCATTATTTGAGAACAATTCAACAGTTTCATATTAAGCCTGAAACTAATTTTATGGACTATATTAAATTTCTTACAAATCAGTTTCTCATACCATATTAAAATCAATGCAGTTATTACTAAATTATCATGTGGTATTTACATTGATTTCAGATATTGGGCTGACAGGAATATTATATATTATGTTCTGTCAAAGATGAAATGACAATTTCAGTGTGTAACAATTATAAATATTTTCACATTTCATGTTACTCTTAAACTTTTTATTATTGTACATGAATGTTAAAACCATCCCGAATTAAATATAAACCTTCACAACCCAAATATAGGAAAATCTTATCATTGTTCTTGATATTAAAAATAATATAAGTTTTTATTGGCTCAAAATTTTGGTTTTCCTTTTTATCAAAATAATACAAATAGTGTAAAAAAGGGAAATAACAAAAATCATGGATTCTCTGTTCCAGCCCACCCAGTCCGTTTAAGGCTGCTTTGAAGCACTCAATTTCAATATTTTCGTTTTTCATGAATTTACTTCTGAACTTCCACATGACACACTTTTATTGCTCTCTCTCATCAATTCTAGATATCTCCACTGAGGTTTGGTGTAGGCCAGATGACTTGCTATCATCAAATGACCATTATTTGTCTCCTCGACATGTTAGTCAATTTCTCCGTTCAAGTGTTCATGGCTCTGCCATTCACAGCAAAGCCAAATTGCACTAAGCCAATTGTGCGCTAAGATTGCACAACTGCATTGTCATATGTGAAATTAGTTCATATTTGCCTCATTCTTTTCATTATTAGAGATATCTGTATGCTTAGCTTTATTTTTTTTCCTGATCCTCCATGAAAACATTCTTGTCTATGAGTAAAGCTGTTTTAAAAATAAAATATTCATATATATGAAGTATTTCATTTGAATTTTCTTCTGGAATATTAATTTCTCGGGGGCCCCCTTCTTGATGCTGCAGTCTGAATTGGCTCCCTTTCCACCCACTCTCCAGCTGTTGCTCTGGTGTGCTCTGTCACCACTTACTTCTCTAAGTGAAATACCCTGGTTCATTGCTCATGTTCCTATTTTCTGATTTACCACTTTCTTCTGCTACTGTCTCCTGATAGTTTCCTGAGACACAATGGAGATGGAGGTAAATTTTTGAGACATTGCTTGTCTGAAAAATAACTTTATTTCTCTCTGAACCTTAGTTAGTATTTTGGCTCAGGATAGAATCGCAACTTAACAACCTCATAATCTGAAGGCACAGGCCTATTGACTTTTATTTGCCATTGTTTTTATTTAAAAGAAAAGGTGATTACAAATTCTTTTTTATGTGTGATCTGCTTCCCACTACCAGCCATCTGTCAGAAACTTTCAAAATCTCCTGTTTACTTCTGAAATCCCACGATGATGTACTCACTGAAATTTTTTTCTTTTCTGATTCTCTGCACTCAGTGGGGGTATTGGTCATTCAGTTCTAGAATCTTTTTCAAATTTCTTTGGACATTTTCCTTCCCTTATTTTCACTCTTCTTTCTTTCTAGAATGTCGTTTATTAAAGTATCACAACTCTTAGATGAAATGCCCACATCCCAGGTTTTATTTTCCAATCTTTTGTATTGCTTTGTCATTTTGCTATGTCATCTGGAAGATTTTCTCAGCTGTCTTCAAATTCATTTAACTGGTTAGTGTAGGAAACAAAGCAGGGTTCTTTCTTATTCCCTAATTTGTCTTTTTACAGTATCATTTTGTCTTGCTTATGAACAAAGTATTTTCCCTGATTTCTCTCTAGATACTAATCAGAATTTTAAACACTTTCCTCGTGTTCCCTGCCCTATTTCTGTTCATTGTTTGCATCGCATCCTTCATAGCAAAGACTTTTTTCAAATGCCAAATTGTGCTTAAACGTTTAAGACACCAAAATGTTTGCAGGAATCTCTCTGTGCGTGGACAATGCGCATTAGCATGTAGGCTACCCTGCAAAGGAGACGGTTAGGTGGGGTGACTAGCGTGTGCTTGGTCCCTCTCTAGAGCTCTTTTCTGTGGGCTATTCACTTTATTCAGAATTTCCATTCTCCTACATAACTACATAGCTTTGGCTCAATTCTAGGAATAGAATGCTGGATGGAGGAAGTGAGGTTCAGAATACCAGATGGAGACTTCCTCTTAGTTGCCCTATTTTTAGCTCAATTCCCTGAGTCTTGGGAACTTCTCTGTTTTATATTTTCTATAAAGCAGTATTATCAAGAGAGGAAGTGGGTATTTAGGGACCAGAGCTTATCATCACCTGGCTTGCCTTTGGAGGCAGTCCCTGGTCCCAGGCGCTCTTGGTGATTGCCTGGGTTTTCCCGGATCCCTTTAGAGGTGCTGCTGATTTTCCCATCCCCGGGCTGCTCCCTCTCCTTTGGCCCATGCCTCATATTCACAACCTTTCCCAGAGACTTGCCCCGAACAGTGAGAGCCACCTGCCCATAACCCCTGGTCAATGGCAAAGAGTAACTGCTATCTAGGTACAAACCCCCTCTGCCTTGCCTCAGGTTGAAAGAGTGAGATACAGTTTATGTAACAGAGCACCCCACAGGATCAGACTGAATCCAGTTCTCCCCTGAACCCAATTCTTACACAGCCTGTTATTCCTTCTTTCTTGCTTCCCTCACGCCCTTACAGGTTGCTCCTAACACTTACTCAATAGCGTGTACCTGATACCCGAGTCAGACTCTGCTTCTATAGAAACCAGTAAGAGATTCCTGCTTTAGCTCCACACATCAGTCTCGCTCTCTGTGGTTTCCAGCTCTCCCAGGACTGACCCCCACAGGCTCGCCCCTGCCTGCATCTCTCTCTCTCTGCAGGTACCTCTAGTATTATTTTCATTCTCTTTGCTATGCCACCTACTCAGGCTTCATCTGCTCTGTGTCCGGAAAAATATTTGTTGACTCTGCATCTGCTAATGTTTCCTTTCCTACTTTCTGGTTCCTTAACATTTTATGTAACTTTTATTCCTTTACTGTCCTTTCACTGCGGTTTTATTATAAACAGCACCTTCAACCAAAATCTTGAATAAGGTTTTAAGTGGGCTTCAGTAAGGATCTGCGTTTTCCTAAGTTTTAGTCACTCTTCTCTCAAACTTTTCCATTTGTAGAAGAAAAATGAGAAGGAAAAAAAAAAAAAAGAGAGAGAGAGAGAGCAAGAAGCAATCACAGTGGAGGGGCCAAGAGTTAACAATACAACTTATGGACACTACTCCTCCTGGAGATTTATACGCAGCATTTTAAAGTAAAAGTTAAGTCTGCATTACTAGTCTATAAACATATAACATTTTAGCATATAACATGTAAAATCATCAGCAGGAACTTTTGAAAGAGTTGAATCTATGAGAGTAATAACTTTGAAGAAATAGGAAAGGGACCCCTTTAGGACCACTTTGTCATCACTTTATATACAGGGTATTCTTTTAGATACTGTTGGCAGGAACCTAATTACAGCCTGTGTTTCAGGAGACTTATCAAGCTTTCCGTAATTCCTGAGCAAATTAATCAATACTATTATCTAAGGTGTTTTTTGTTTTTTTCGTAACCACCAACTCTAGCACTCAGTAGACATGCATAGGGGACAAAGGGCATTCTCAATCAAGAGTCTGGAGGATTGAAACCCTTCCACTTCGGGTGGTATTCTTCAACTTTCAATGTCAGTGAAATTTACAAGCATTCTCTAAATTCTGAGAAATGGCAACCCTATACAGATTTTTTAGCTTACTGATTCACTGGAAGTTCCATATGGTGAGGAAAATCAAGTATTCAGAAAAGGAAAAATAGAACTTGAATTCAGACAGAATATTAGGGAGGTTTCTCCCCCAGAAGCACGGCAGCAGCATGAACTTGCTTCTTTTTTTTTTTTTTTTTTTCCTTTTTCCTTTGGTCATCCAGACACTTCTTTCCTTTTTTATAGCATCAGATATCAGCTCTCAAATTGATGAGCCACCTTCTGTCATTATTTCTCAATGTTCCAATATAATCTTCTCCATCTGGCCTTTTTTAAAGATCACAGCTTTCAATGTGGCTCTGTGCTGTTCATCAAATGGCACGATTCTCACAGGTGACTGGCTGTTCCCGCACATAATGTGGCTCTGAAGGGACTGAATACAGAGCTTCATCGAGGTTAACTCTTGCTTCCCCCAGGGAGGGAGTCCTGGAGGGTCTCCTTAATACACTTGAAGAGAAAATCCTGGGGCATTTCTGCAGTAATTAGCCATTTCATTGCCAAACAGAAATTTCTTCTTGAACAACCAACTCCTCCTAATAGCATTTAGCTTTAAAATTTAATATTCCAAGTTCTTGATCCCACCTTCTAGTGAAAATGATATTTATCAGCTATAAGGCTGTGCATTTTGTTTATTTTGTTTTTATCTCTCTCTGTCACTCCCAGAAAGAACGTCTTCTGATATAACAATCTGATATTACAGAAATCATGAAATAAATCTACACTTGTTTATTGTTAAAACCTCTTGAAGTCTTATAATACTATTATTTAGCATAAGCTCTGTGCTTCTTTTCCTCTTCTCCTCACATTTTCTTCTTGTGGTTGTATGGGACGGGGGTGTGGAAGAAAGGGTGGTCCTCAATCACGTCTGATTACACTTAGGTGAAGAGCATAAACCTTTGCAATAGTAAAAACCTAAACTATTTTGAAAAAAGAAATGTCTCGTGAACATTCTACATTGACGCCAATGATACTTAAGAGACGAAGATACAATGAACCACTCTGTTATTTCAGTATCTCTTATTTTGACAGGAATCATGATAAAAAAGTGATTGGTTATAGGAATTCAATTTTCATTGTGTTATTTATACAGCAAACAGAAATCAGAAACAAATGATATATATGTCAATATGGCATATTTCCAGGTTTAATTTTGCACGAAGACACAGTCTAACAAATGTGCATTTATTTCAGATATTGTACATACTAAAATTTTTTAAGGACTGGAACTCTGGGAAAGGTTATAAAAGATAGTGACTGTGAGAAACAGGAATACATTTGGACAATTAAACTTTATATACTTTGAAAATTCTCCTTTTCTTAAAATGTACCTTCTAAGACAACTTATGAAACTTGTCAAATATTGTGCTACAAATTCTCATATAATTTGTTAACAGGAAATTGTTTAGAAAATATAAAATAGGAAGTAATTCTAAAATGTACGTTCAGAAAAATATTGTTACTTTTAATTCATCAAATATAATCAAACTGTATCTTTAAAAACATCACTGATAAATGCTAGTCATTCAAACTTAATTTTTAAAATTCATGAACATATCTAGTAAAAGAGTAAATATCAATTAATTCACATACCAGATTTGCGATGATGTAGTGGTATCCTTTAACATGTTTTCCAATGGTAATAACCTGTCCAAGATAAAGAAAAATTATTTCATCAATGCAAATAATATAAATGTAAAGTACTAGTATTCTGATCTGACTCAGGAAAAAATAAAATTTTATCTACACTTTTGATTGAATTATATTTGATAAAATATAATTATCAAATCCAGAGAATATTTCACTAAAAAAAAATAATATATTTGAATGCTTAATAAATATTATCTTTCAACAGGTCAACAAATAAACAAAAATAATTGTCTCATTTTTGTCAATAGTAAAAAAAGGCCACAAAATTTTAAGCAATACAAATCAAAATATGTTTGATTCATAACAAGTCAGAATAAATTTTTATTTCAGAAAAAGGTACCTTTTTATCTCTCTTATGAAATATAAAATAGTTCAGACTGTGTAACAACTGAGATCTTATATTCATGTATCTCTATTCAAAGATTAAACTCTCAGAATTTATGGTCCTACCTGAATTTTAAAAGAATATTATTACTAATAAACATATAAAAGAATTCTTATGTATATAACACACATATAAAAAATTCCTATTATAAGGATCTTGAAAGGTTTATAATTTAGTTCAAATGAACATTATTTACAGGGTATAAACAGCAAAATATGAAAGAAGTTAATTTTTCATTCACTGATTTAAGTCAAAAATCAATGGTGAGATGAACACATCATGGAACAAGTGATTATCTGCGTAATGTTCACAACAGTTTGAATTATTGAATCAATTTTATCTTTTACTGATCTATATCAATTATGAAAAGAGCAGCAATTGGCAAAATGACCATGTTGTAGCCCTGGCACATAGATGTTAAAATGTAATTTTTATTATTAATAAAAACTGCTATCAAGGGAAAGCTTGACATGCCAAAAATTCAAACCATTTTCTTACTTTCCTGATTAACCTGCTCTGGTGGCTTCTCCCTGCTTTTTTGCATAGTAAGCAAAAATCTTAATTTGCTACAAAGTCCAGAAATCTTACAAGCTCTCCAGGCTCATTCTTTCCCATTCTTTACACTCAGGTCCCCCGGATCTTCTTTGTTTTGTGCTCACAAAAATGCTTCTCATCACCTCCTTTAACAGATTCCATTTCCTCTGCTTGGAGATCAGGCACAATTTTTACCTTACGGGAGAAAACTACCTTGACTTTCCCCTTTCCCAGACAAGGTCAGGTGCTCCAGTGCTACACATCGAGGTAAAAAGATCAAGAACGAATCTGGGAAAGGATTCTGCCACATGTCGCTTGGATATTAAGTGGTAGCTCTTGGGAAGGAAGCGTCAGTTTATATTATTTTCTAACTGATTGTTAATGTAACACAACTAAATTGCCTTTTTCCCTTTCAAAATAACTGAATTTTCTGAACTTTGAAGAAAAGATGTTCTTCTGAGTGAAAACTGTGTGCATTAGCATAAGCTGAGACACATTGGTCACGTCCTCCTATTTCCATTCGACACCTGTGGCTCTGATCATTCTCCTTTCTGCTTTCTGGATCATCCCTACCTTCCTTCTGAGAACTAGGAAAACATATTACAAATGAAGATAACAGTAGTCCCTACTTGAGTTCAGTGTTCGTTGTGAGAGGGGATCAATATCAAAATTCACTAGCCCTATGTCCATATAAAATTAGTGTTGGCCATACTAAGCATCATAATCTTTTTCTTTTTGAGACAGAGTCTCACTTTGCCACCCTTGGTAGAGTGCTGTGGCATCATAACTCACAGCAATGTCAAACTCTTGGGCTCAAGCAATTCTCTTGCTTCAGCTTCCCAATTAGCTGGGACTACAGGTGCCCATCACCATGCCTGGTTATTTTTTTCCTATTTTTAGTAGAGATGGGATCTCACTCTTGCTCAGGCTGGTCTCCAACTCCTGAGCTCAAGCAATCCACCTGCCTTGGCCTCCCAGAGTGCTAAGATTACAAGTGTGAGCCACTGTGCCTGGCCTGTCATATCTCTTCTCAATAGTAACAACTAGCATTGCATTGAAAATAGAAAATGTACATTAGTTTATAAATATTTTCTGATGGCTAAATCTATTGTCCACCTAATCAGAACTAAAAATCAGTATCTCTGAGGTTTTATCCAATGGAAATAAAATACTCATACTCTATAACTTCTTACAACCTTTAAGCTACTGTGAAAATAAAGAATTTCATCCTATCTCTGCTTTCTTGTAAACATTAAGTGAATGAGTAGTGTTTCTTCACCTTACAAGGTACCATATTGCCATTTTTTGCTTAGTAAACCCTAATCCTTGAAGAATGTCCCAATCTAAATATTTTTTCTGCAATTCTGTCTCATAACATCCTGTTTTTCATTTATAGTATATTTGATTGTTATAATTATATATCATGTTCTTTAAATATATCATTAATAGTCACCTTAATAGCATTTTGCCTGTTTTATTTAACAGTACTTTTTCTAATCCACTCCACTGCCTGCACAGTAAACATTATAAACTCATGGAATATATACTGAACAAATGAAATAAGGAGTCCAAGCCAGCCATGTGAGCCCTTCACAGACAATCCCTTCCCTATTAAGATAGGTACTTTTCCCTCTATGTTCCTAGACCACACTGTACTTAATTTGCAATATTGCAGTATTGTTTGTGATCATTTTTCTTCCTTTCTGAACAATGCCCTCATGAAGTACAGACACCACTCTTTTTTTTTTCTTTGCATCCCTTACTCTAGAAAAAAAGGACTTCCTCAATATATGTTTGTTGAATGATAGACTATCCATTGTGACCACTCATTAAGGCATTGAAGAGTGACTTATACCATATATGTGCAAAATATTTTGTATTTTTAATGGATATCTATATGGACATTTACAAAACCATGATTACAGATTTGCTTCAGAACATCACTTCCCAATTTATTGTATTCTCAATTTCTTTTGGAATTTCTCTCTTTCAGTTTTGGAAAGAGGAATTTTCATATAGGCTTTCACTGGCATTCATAATGACAAGTCTGAGATACATAAATTTTTAAACCAAGGGCTAACAACTATTATTAAAATTTGCTTTTAATGATAACTTTTTATGAAATTCAAATGCGTTTTTGAGGTTCATATTTGAACAAGAGGCCTTCAGGTTAAGAACAACCTTCACATCATCTCCTGAGATGGAATCAAGATTTTTCTACTGAAATTATTCACCTCTCTGGCATCCAACATTTAGTTCTTTCTCATAGCCAGTTAGTTCTATTCAGTTCCTTAGTATTTCATGAGCGACCCACTGTATGCGGTAAAGGACATATTATTATGTATCAGTTAGGACTTCATGAACATTTAAGTTTGCGGAATGTTTTATGTTGTATAAACTAATGACTGTAATTCTCTTCAAAGCCTAATGAGGCCAAGAAATCATACTCTACTTGTTACTTCCAGTCCTATATTATTCTAAGGACCCAGTTGCAGCTAGTTCATTATATACAGTTGACCCTTGAACAACATCAGTTTGAACTACACAGATCTCTTTATTACATACATGTCACCTCTGACACAGCAGGACCCAACCTTTTCCTTCTCCTTTGTAGCCTACATAATGTTAAGAGGACAAGGATGAAGACCTTTATAATGATCTACATTTTCTCTTCCCTATGATTTTCTTAACCTTTTATTTTCTATAACTCACTTTCCTGTAAGAATACAGTATACTATACATACAACATACGAAATATGTATTAACTATGTTATCATGAAGGCTTCTCACCAATGGTAGTCTATCAATAATGTCAAGTGTGTGTACACGCACATTCATACACACACACACATTTGTTAGCTAGGAAAATTCAATAAATCATGATGTTAGTGTTGTGTCATCACCATCCCCGGTCAGTTCCCCTATCCATGAAACATGGTGGATTTTGTTTTTATCCTTAGGATGGATGTCACTGTGTAATGGCCCTAACCTGAAAGGTCTTAAACTGCAGCAAGGTGGCAAACACAAAAAAAAACACCCTTGTCTTGCTACTGTGTCACTCTTAAATAATCCAAATGGATGCATCTAGTTTACTTCTCAAATTCTAAACACAACCTGATTATGTCTTTCCTACATGTTTTAATTTCACAGATTAATGTTTTTTATAGCAACACAGATCACCTATTAAAAGAAATAATTATATTCTGTAGAAACAAATGTATGTTTTTTCCTGGAGACTTAGATCCATTTATACAAAAACATAGGCTTGGTGAGGCATGCTGTACTCTAATGTTTGAAATAATCTAGGTATCTTCAAAAAATTCATGAATTCCTCACTTTTCCCTTAGAAAGGAGACTTGTTTTGACTTTATCCATGTTCATTTCCTTAACTCTAAAAAGTTCATCAGCATTAAATTTCAAATTTGCATTTCAAAATATGAGCATTTACACCAACACTTATCGTGCAAAACATTGAATGTACTTAATGATTAATAAGGTGTGTCGGCATTATTGACAACCATCTGCTATTGCTGACTGAAGCCAGAGATAATTTAATTGGTGATCTTTGCTGCATCCTACAGAAACCACCGAGTAAAAACTGCTTGCTGTTCAAGCACCTAACCCAAATGCTGGTTGTAAACGCTGACATGGCAGGCATATGCTAGATTTGGTGTCATTAGAAAACAGAGTTGCAGACCTGGTCCACAATGTCATTAACTTTATCCCGTTCACAGTCCAGAATTACACGTCGTTCCTTTTTTAACTCCAGATCTTGGAAAAGCGACCGGTAGGTCTCATCTTTCTTGTCATTGTTAATGTTTCCCACATTGATAGCAGTCACTTGCCATTTCTTTTCAGCAGCGGAATCCAGCACAGCTTGCAGCGTTGATAAGCCTAGGAAGGCAAAGAAAAATGATGACTGATAAAGATACTTGAATAACTCAGATTTGTGTTATGAAATTGCCAGTGAATATATATTTAAGGCTGGTATATTTGTACAACTAAGGGAATGTTGACTCCTCATAAAAAGCTAACGCTACAATCTTTATCAACATCCGCTTATGTCTGCTTCACATCAAAAACTCATTACTCAAATTCTATTGTTCTGACCACAAGAGTCTTATTTGAAGGAAATAGTACCCCGTTCTTTCAACCCTCTCAGCTGTCATCTTTGGGCTGTTATGAAAGTATAACGTTTTTAATACTTCTGGTCTAAGTGAAATCAAAAGACATCAGGAAGGTTTCTTATTCTCATGAAATGGAAAAATAATTACTGAGTCATATGTGACTGTCTATCATTTATGAAAACCCTGAAGCAGGCAAGTACATTTTCAGTGAGATGAATCCTTGTGAGTTTATGTGAGTATAAGAGCCACTAATCTCTATGAGGCTGCTATATATTTTCCTGTTGATTTTTAGTCAGGAGTTTTGTTTTCATTTTTTTTTCTTCCAAGGCCTTACATTATATTCATTTTGTTATGGGAAATGATGCCATAGATATTAAAATGTTCACTTATTAGCCAGATGATGGCAGTTAGATGATGGCAGCCTTATTTCAGTCCCTAAATTCAAGACTATTTTAATGTTAGTAACTTTGCTTATAGCATCATATGACACATAAATTTTTGTTATTTTTAATTGTTCATGTATTGGCTCATATTTAGAACTGATCTGGACAACAACGAGGGGATGCTTTCCTGAAAAGTTAAAAATTTATTTTAGCCCTTGAAGAAACAGTACAGAAACTTGTTTCTTACATCAATTCAACTATTCCAGAAAGGCCTGCATCTTTCTCTAAAGAATAATTGTATCTTTTTATCCATAAAATGTTGGATTCACCAGAAAGCAAGGAAGCTTTCCGAAAACTTCACCCTTATGTCAAAGGACATGGGACTCAATTTGAAGATGAGCTCTTTAAGGAAAGATGGGATAATTGGAACAGCAATTAAAATAATGACTGTAAAAGAGAGTTACATATATAAAATATCTTAAATCCGTGAAATCATTATAATTTTTTAAAAAATTGCTTGCTTTTAATGGATGCTGAGGAACTAATTAATTTGAAAACTGGTAAATAATGAAGCAAAACAATAATTTTCCTGCCTTGCCTGTACAAACTAGACTTGAGGTTATAATGAATTTTTAAAAGTGTCTTTCTTTTTGGAAAGACTCCATCTAATAAATGATGATAAGTATAGATTTTAAATTTTCATTGACTTATGACATCTACTGAATTAATAAATCATGGCAATATTCATCAACTACTAGTAATGATGTAGAGAGAGATACACATCTCAAAATGGTAACACTCGGCACCAACCAGTTGTGAAGAATTTCTGCCTCAAATGTAAATTTGAATCTTATCATGCTTCCAAATCTTACTACCAATTTATAGGGAATATATGGCATAAAATAATATGTTAACACCACCGTATTCCAATCATCAAAATCTAGACTATGCAAAGCTCAGCATTACATTTTAAAAGTTTTAAAAGCTATGTTAACCAATTGTGATGTATGGAACTCATTTTAATTCTGCTTCAAACAAACAGGGAAAATAACATAATATCAATGAATTATTGTTATTGTTCAGGTAGGTATGATAGTGATATTGGGGGTTATGTTTAAAATTAAAATCATTATTTTTTTCCAACTAAATACTGAAATGTTCACAGATGAAGTAACTTGATGTTTGATATTTGCCTCTAAATACTTGCAGGGACAAGAGGGATATAAATAAAACAAATTGCACATATAAGTCATCAAGAAAACTAGATTGAGCACTTCAAGGGTTTTCATGTTATTTTCTCTGTTTCGTTATTTAGAGTATCTTACGTTGCACAAGAAAAAATAATTTGTTTCAGAATGGAAGATTGAATCACACACTCAAGTCAAAGTAATGCTTTTCTGGCAAAACAAACAGAATTAGTTTTGTCCATCCCGTCTTCTAACAAAAGATATAAATAAACATGAATTTCTCAAAAGAAAGTTTAATGAGACCACATGCCACTTAAGAAAACTTTCAATGGTAAAACTTCAAAAGTTATCAAGGATTGCCTATGATTTCCGTTCACTGTAGGTAAATTAAAGCCTTCCATGCTACGATTCAAGTCCCTTTCCTGTTGCTCATCATCAGTAGAGACAGAACACGCACAGCTGGTCATCACGATCAATTCAACAGCTACCAATATACTTGAAAACAGCCATTAAGTCTGCCCGGTTTTTTTCTCCAAATAGGAGGGAAAAAATCTAAATATCTAACTTTCTTCCATTCTTCAGGCCCTACTTTCCCATATTTGAATCAGTGTGGAACACTTCCTTGTTGCCTCCGTAAGGATATTCTATGCACAGATGATGTTTTCCATGCCGCCCACATGTTACCAGACAGCAATTATCAGCAAGCTGCCCTTATTCTCTGTAACAAGTTATTTCATTTTGTTTTTATTTAATTATGGAGTTTATTGCCTAAAACTTTCATAGCGATACTCTTGATATTCTGTCCCAACTTTCAACACATATTCCAAGAAATCCAAATATAAATGAGAATTTATAATTAGATTTTATCAAGTAATAATACTAAATCTCAAATTTGTTGGCAGTTCACCTTGTCAAAGAATGTGAAGTTTATGTATAAAATCAGAAGACTGCACATAAAGGAATGGATGTCTTTCAAACTCATTCATTCTATGGGTCAAAAAACTTACTATTGGTGTGGATTCTCTGTTATTAAAGATCTCATGATTACTATTTTGTAACCTGTGGCACTTAACAAAAATTACTTCTATTTATGAAGAAACTTATCCACTTATACAGTGGTATCTCAGACTTGATTAATTTAGTTGAGTCAGAAGACACTGAATAATGTTAAATCACCTTCTAAAGA